GACATCACCCATCTCAACAATGTACCCAGTTGTTAGGCTTTTCTGGATGGATAGTTGTAGGGCTCAATTTTGGAAAACAGTCACAGACACTATGTAAATAAGATGGCAGGTGGTTATGCTCCAGTAAAACAGGATTTTGTCTAAAGTTTCAGTTTTGTGGGTTTTTTGTTTTGCTTTTTGATCTTTTGTTCTTTGTTAACTTCTGAGCTAAATTTCTTCTCTTTTTCACAAATACCTTCCAGTTATTCATGTTCTTCCCTCAGTTTCTGCATAAAAACTTCTGAGTCATGTTCATTTATGAAAGTTAGCTCTTTCAATAATCTTCCCTGGGCATCCTAGTAAGGAATGCTTTCAATATGTTATACATTGTCTGATATTTCTCTGTAGCTTGTCTTTTAATTATGTAAGTATTTTATCATTTCTTCATTTTAATAGCCTAAGGATAAGGATGCCTCTGTTTACCTTACAGCATCAGGTTCTTTTTGGCTTAGTTTATTTTGTTTGAGATAGGTCTCACTATATAGCTCAGGCAGACCACGAGTGCACTGTGAAACCTAGCCTAGGCTTGAGCTCATGCTCCTCCAGTTTCAATCTCCTGAGTGTTGAGTTTGCCTGTACAAGTTACTATGGCCATTGCCTTTGCTTATTGAAAACTCTGGACAGAGGACATAGTAGACACATACTACACAGGCCCATTAGGGGATACTCCATTGGCCATTCCACTGAAGGATCAAACCTCCCCTCAGCTAACCCCTATGTTTCAGAGTATCACTCCAATGATATAGTGGTGGATGGCTAACAGCTTGGCAATCTCTGTTTTTCTATACTCAGAGATGGTCAGATAGAGAGAATGCATTATTTGATCAAATTCTTGAGCATTCACTTTGAACCACATCAAAGACTTATGCACTTAGAGACACTGGAGAAATTAAAGAAATGTATCTTATCAATCATTTCTAGCCTCAACAGTATGTGACTTATTTCCTAGAATGTTCTGTCTTGGGTAAAAGTGATTATTTGGTATTCTTGACAAGCTCTTATGAAAATAAAACTTAGGTTTTGTTGTTGTTGATTTGGCCATCCATCCATTTGTTTGTGAGACAGAGTCTCATCTTTTCCAAGGTGGCAAAGAATTTTCTATGCAGTCAAGAATAACCTTGAAGTTATGATCCAGTTTTCATATCCACAGTGCTGGGATTGTAGACATACACTACCATGTCCAGTTTTTATTCAAGTATTTAACCTAGGACTTCATATGTATTAGGCAAGCACCCTCAAGCTACACCCACAACTTGACCTCTATTTTAAACTAACAAAAAAGGAAGGCAAATTATTTAATGACTAGAAGCCAGAAAAATGACAAAATGCTAGTATGCAAAAGACAGCAGCAGTCTTAGACATCCCCTGACCCTAAGAAAACACACAATGAAGCTGTTTTTTTTTTTTTTTTTAGTTGTTACTTTTAGCAGGATAGAAAGTGATATTTGTCCTTGTTCATTTTGGAATGGTTCATGTCTAAGAAAACTGTCTTACCATAAAAATCACCACCAAAATGGGAAGGTTGATACTGGCCAAATCATGAAATAGTAGACATTTTTTAAAGTTATTTATCAGTATAAATGACCTTGTATATCTGACTTAGGCTTATGCAGAAAGTGCTGCAGTGATAGACCCCCAGATTTTGTAACATAGTACCTCCAAGCTCATGAATGTTCCAAAGTAGCTTTACATTTTAAGTGTTTGTGTAAGGTAGATAGTGCTTTTAAATAACAAGTGGTCATTCAAAAAGTAAATGCCTAAATAAAAGGTGAGTTTTGTATGATAAATTTTTTTACATTGCTAATGAGAGACTAACACTCTCAAAATTTGAGGAGGTATTATTCTCTGAACAATATTGGATCCTAAAGCTTTTTCCTTTACTCGGTGATCTGTTTGTGAAGCTTCTAAGGGGCATCTCAAATGCTTTGCAGTCTTTTGTTGCTTATATTTGTATTCACTCATGGTTCTTCAACTATGAATACTGAAAGGTGAATCTAAATGGATAGTTCGTTAAGTTGAATTGACATTGATATCTCTAGTCATCTCTCTTTGCTTTTAAGAGCTTAAATGATTTGAACATAAATTTTATGCAGAAGAAACTTTTACTGAAGCAAATAAAACTTTTTTTAAATCGAGTGACTTTGAAAAAAAAACATGGGGATAATTCCATTGTATACAAAAGAACAGAGAGAGAGAGAGAGACAGAGACAGAGACAGAGAGAGACAGAAAGAAGCAGAGAACCTTGTCTCTGGGGATAGGATATAGGTCTTGGAACCCATACGTAGAATCAAGGCTTCTGTTAAGGTTCTGAAATGTACAGGATAGACCACACACACACACACACACACAACCCAGTTAACAATCTAATCTAAAATTTCTATGGTGCTGACCAAGCATTGCCAAAGAGGAATTTAAAAATTCAACTTAATGAAAATTGCTGATTTCATTTTCTCACTTATGCTCAGCATGATTCTTTGTTCTTTATGAAGCATTAGCAGTTCTGGTAATGAAGCCTGGCCTTCCTTCCAGCCCTCCCAGCCTGACACACAGTTCCACTTGCTCCTCAACCATTACACTGCTTACTCAGTAGTTTGTCACTGCAGTTCAGACTGTCGAATTTATGAAGTCATCAGACATGCTAATAGAATCAGCTGCAGATACAGTATTTTAGCATCGAGATTACTTCCTTCCCAATCAGGATTGGAGCAACTTTGCTCCTCTCTCTCTCTCTCCCCCCCCCTCTCTCTCTCTCTGTGCATGTGTGTGGTGTGTTCAGGCATTTAGGTAGACATACACTCATTTGTATGTGGTATACCTGTGTGTATGTACATGTGTGTGCATGTAGTGGAATGAGATAAATGTTTGGGCTCTGCCTTATTTGCTACTTGACCTTTTTCACTGAGGCAAGGTTTTTCAGTCAGTTTCAGAGCTTATAGTTCAGGCTGTTCTGCTTGCTCTGGGAAACTTTGGTATCCAGCTCTGTAGGGCCACCGCATTCACTTGTACGTATTTAGGTTCTGGGGATCATAATTCCTACTCCCCTTGCTTGTGGGAACCAACAACTTTAACTATTTATCCATCCCAATGCCTGAAGTTCATTCTCATATTCCTGAAATATGGAAACAATATCTATAAGCTGGAACATAGGATGAAGAGTATAGAAGATTACAATTTAAAAGTCTCTTCATGGCTTTACAGCAGTGTGTTCTGTGTGATGATAACTATTATATGAAAAAGTGAGAAGCAATTTCCAGTTTGTTTCTGAGCTATATTGATGTTACCTGAATAGGGAAAGAATATTTTATGGGATGTAATAACAAAATGGCAGTCACTTTGAGGCCTAAAATATGATTTCAGTACTTGGCTCAAAGAGTACCTAAATGTGCCATTTTACACTGGCTGACACCTCTGTGCAGGGTTCCAGAACAGCACCATTCTGTCACGGCTTTGGCAGATGGCTATCACCCAGAGACCTTTTCAAATAAGACTGAAGTTGAACAGTGCAATGTGAAACTCACCACATTATTGGATCACGTAGCTGTACCCAGTGGTCTGGAGCGTTACAAAGTAAAACCCACTTCCAAGTTTAAATTGCTGCCACCCTGAGGTGAATGGAAAATGACCAACTAAGTTTTTTCCAAGCTTAGAATGACCCTGTCTTATTGCAGAAGAATCAAAATGCATGTGATGTATTGTTGAGACTCAAAAAGAGTGCACAAGATATGATTGTGTAAGCAATAAAAAAAGCAGACCACCTTGATGTCGGTACAAATTTGCATATTCATGAGTGTCATCTTTCTGGAGAAACCACATTCCCAGAAGTCAATGGACCAAAAGGGAATCCATCAGTAGGATATTCAATTGTGAAAAAGAAGCTTTTACTCTACCTCAAGGATGCAAAGAGCCTAGAATTCACACAAACATTGCCCTTTAAACAAGACCTGAAAACATTAAGGTCTGAAGAGTGATGTGCCTGGTCTGAGTTAGTAGGTTATTTGAAACACTGTAGCATCTTTGTAGAGGAATTGAATATGTTTTAAACCCTACTTTGGCTTGTTGAATGTTGATTTTGAGTAAGAACCAACATAGTAAGCTTATTCTGTCTTGAGAATCATGATTCAGTCTTAATAGAAATGCAAAAGGAACATGGAAGGAGATAGAAAATTTTGAAATGAAGGATTGATATATGAAGTTCTACATTTGAGCCATCTTGTGATGTTTTAGTCCCTGCTGTGTCCATCATTTAGTGACTCAAACATCACTTCATTTTGGCCTCTTTTATCATAAAATATGACAGTGTTGGTTGTATTGTATGACAAAACTTTTTCAAGCCATTTCCAGAAAAACAGGGTCTAGGCAGATTTTTTTCTTTCCTGCTTGCCAGTTCCCAAATAATAGACACAGATACTCAATATTAATTATAAATATTTGGCCAATAGCTTAGGCTTATTACTAACTAACTCTTACAACTTAAATTAACCCATTTCTATTCATCTACATGCTGCTACCTGGCTCCTGGTGACCTGTCCTCCAGCATGCCTTGCTCCACCTGCATCTCCTGGTGAGTCCTGTGACTCCACCCTCCTTCTTCCCATCATTCTCTCTGACTCGAAATTCCTGCCTAACCATCAGCCAATCAATTTTTTTTTAAAATTAACAATGAGATCAATACATATTTACAGTGTATAAAGATTGTTCCACTGCAACAAGGGGACTATTTACCTTAATTTTAGGGACTTTGAAGATAAACATTATTTCCCTGAAATCACTTTTCTCTCATATTAAAATCTGCTATGTTTGTTTTTTGCTTCTACTTTCCCTGAAAACTTAAAATGATAATTATTGTCAGATCCAAAGATCTCCAACCCCCATGGCTATGCTTGTGACATTGTCCTAAACAGAGGGACTTTGGTCAGGTAAACAAAAGAATTGTAATTGGGTAAATAAGCCCAAAACTCACTTTTGTTGTTTGCTAGGAATCACCTCCAGGAACCACCGTATTCTTCCCCAAATGGTCAGCTGTGGGGGAGAGGGGGATGGATGCACATCCGCAGACAGCCTGTAATCTGCTCAGATGTTCAACCTGATGACTGTCATATAAAAACTGTTTGCTTTGCTGCCATTTTGTTATTCTCTTTGCCTCCCCCTGCCCTCCCCAACTCCCAAGATAGCCTTATCAGTTTGGTCTGCAATACACCTTTCTTTCTACCCACATCTGGCTCAGTAGTTCCTCTGCACCACTCATTCCAATTACCATCCACATATTCCTCGTGTCTTTATTTAAAACCTGTATTTGGTGCTTGTGTCTTAAGTGTTAGATTTCTATCAGACATAATTCATGATCTGGTATTTCCTCTGCCTTTTTAGCTGGAGATTAGAACAACTGTGAGAAAAATAAATTTTAAACAGTAAAAATAGGTTTATGAACAATTCTGTTTCATATTAGAATTAACTATTCAACTTGAGTCTCTAACCCTGGTCCTGAAGTGTGAAATCCTATATACAAATGAAAGCAAAATAAGCCATTGCATGTATTTATTTATCCATTCATTTATTTGTTTACTGAAAAACATTGTTAGTATTTGAAATATTAAAACACTAAAATTTGTATGAGGAATAATTCAAGTAGCAGTGATCATATAAACTGAAATGTATGAGTTACAACCTTTGCAAACATTATGAGTAGGCCATATTTCTTTAGGGAATGTGAAATACCTAAATAAAATCAAAGAAAATAATAGAAAGGATAGAATAAGAAATAGAAGAAAAGGAAGGTAATGCAATAAAATGCCACATATGAAAGATCAACTTATATTTTGTTTTCAATCTGATTTGTAGGAAAATTTATTGTCATTATTATTAATGTGCTGAGGTTTAGACTCAGGGCCTCAAACATGCTAAGAATACACTGTGCAACAGAGCTATAGTTCCAAGTCTCATGAATATATTTAACTTTTAATTAAAATACAATTATATCACTTCTCTCCTTGCTTTCCTCCCTTTAACCCTCCCATGTCCTCTACTTCTAATCTTTCCCATGTTCCCCACTTCCTCTCATATTTATGGGCTCTTTTTCTTCATTATTGTCACATATATACTGTTTTGCCCAGATTGTGGGGACTCCTAAAAGGCCACCATGGAGACCAAATCCTATATGTAAAAGCAAAGAGCCTTTATTTTCAAGCTCAGAGCTTGGACTCTCTGTCTGATGCACCAGTGAGAACAGAGAGCCCAGAGCCCAGGCAGGGGTTTTTATCATAGTAGAGGTTGGGGTGAGGGGATTTGGGAGTATAGGGAATGTTTGGAATGTCAGGTATTTCCCCTTAGATGCAGGTCTCCCTGGGTGGGATCAGCTTATGGCTTTTCCTGGGTCCAGGTGTTGCCTGCCAGAAGCTGTGTGGTCAGGCTCTCTTGGGCACCCCCACAGTACATATGCATAAGTCTAAACACACAATCTGCTGAGTCCATTTAGTGAGGCTTCTATATGTATGATTTCAGAGTTGACTACTTGATATTAGATAATCAACTTAGAGACTCATCCGTAAGAGAGGCTAATTTTCCTTCTTTTAACAGTCACTAATTGCCTGTAGGTCTTTGTCTTTGGTTGGGAATCATATGAGATTTCCCCTTACATATTAGTATGTCTGTTGATATTGTCATTTCTTAGTTCTCTTATGGGCAGCCATATTGTTGAGGTATCATAGGTGTAGCATTCTGTGTGGTGATATATTGTGTCCCCCAGTATATTATGCACCCTAATAAGGCTTATCTGAGGATCAGAGGAAAAAGTCAGCCACTATATTAAACATAGAAGTCAGGCAATGGTAGCACACACCTTTAATCCTAGCATTCGGAAGGCAGAAATCCATCTGGATCTCTGTGAGTTCAAGGCCACACTGGGGAACAGAGCCAGGCATGGTAACACACATCTTTAATCCCAGCACTAACCATAGAGGTCTGTAGGTCTGTACAGACAGACAGAAAGTGATGTAGCTGGGCAGAGAGAAGAAGTGAAATGCAGAACAAAAAGGGATATAGGCATGGATGTACAGGAAGTAGGTCTCCTTGGCTGAGGATTTCCAACTGGTAAGAACTTGGCTGGCTTCTTTCTGCTTTTCTGATCTCTCAGTTTTTACCCCAATATCTGGATCCAGATTTTTGTTAATAAGACCATTTAGCAATTTGTTTTATAATTCTGGTCATTTCTAGGACATAAAATCCCACAGACAACTTCGAGTTTTCTTTTATAATCTTTCTATGCCTCTTCTGTGATGTTTTCTGGGCCTTGGTTGCAGAAGTTGTGATTTAGATGCATATATTTTGGCTGAGCTCTTTACAATCCATTAATCTCTGTATTATGACCAATTGTGGTCTTCTAACTTCACCCTGAAAATCATCCTTATACCCACAGATAAATGCAGTTCTCACCTCTCATCAAAAAAACTTCTGTTTTTAATTTTCTATACATTTATTTAGTGGGTTGTTTAGTGTGTGTAACAAGCCATGGGATGCAATGTGGAAGTCATAGGAAAACTTGTGGGAGTCTTTTCTCTCCTCTTGACATGTGAGGCACTGGATCAAATTCTGATCTAATGGTTTAGTATCAACCACCTTGACCCACTGACTTAGTCAATGTTCTGTTGTTCTGAAGAGACACCATGACCAAGGCAACACATATAAAGGAGATTATTCAGTCAGGGGCTTGTTTACAGCTTTAAAGGTTTAGTCCATTATCATCATGGCAGGAAGTAGAGAGCATGACAGCATGAAGGCAGGCACAGTGCTGGAGAAGTAGTAGAGAGCTATATCCTGATCCAGAGAGAGAGAGAGAAAGAGACTTGGAGTCTGGGGCTGACAGGGACTTTGGAAGCCCCAAAGCCTATCTCCCACAGTGACACAATTTCTTCAAAATAGCCATACCTATTCCAACAAGGCCACATTTTCTAATCCTTCTCAAACAATGCCACTCCCTGGAGACTAAGCATTCAAATGTATGAGCCTATGGGGGCCATTCTTAATTCAAACCTTCATATCCACTGAGCCAGCCTTCAGGCCCATAAACACAGTTTTGATTTAAATATTTCCCAGTTATAACTTGGGAGAGCAGACTCTACACCTTGCCTGGACAGCACAATAGAGATGACCCTGTTGGTGAAAGTGTGGGTGAGCCAGTGGTGATATGTGAGCATGGCAAAGCATCCTCATTACTCATTTGTCTTGTGGCAGCATGGGCTAGGGAGAGATGCCCGCCCCCATTCAATGCCGGAGGCAGGTGGGAGAGCTGGCCCTGAGGTCATAAGGGGGGAGAGCTGTCCCCGCCTCCACCAGCTGCAACACTTGGGAAAGCAGGCTCTGCACTTTGCCTAGGTAACCCAAGAGAGCCAACCCTGTTGGCAGAGGTGTGGGTGAGCCAGCCCTGAAGAGCCTGGGGGAGCTGTCCTCATCTGTCTTGAGGTGGAATGGTCTGGGAGAGATGTCCCTGCCCCCCATCAATGCTGAGGCAAGTGGGAGAGCAGGCTCTGAAATCATAAGATCTGAGAGTTGTTCTGCCCCTCATCAGCTGCAGCACTCAAGAAAGTGGCCTCTACACTTTGCCTGGGCAACATAGTAGAGCTGTCCCTGAAGGTGTCGGTTTGGGAGAATCAACCCTGAGAACTCAAAAGCCAGAGAACTGGCCCTGCATCTTTCTCATCGCTGTAGGTGTGAACTGCCCAGGATGGTCCTAGAGGGTCCACCCTGGTGGTGAAGGTGATGCTGCAGTATGGCGGAGCTGACCATCTCTACAGGTACCCAGGCTCAGAGCCAGGGCTGTGTGTTTGCTCACCCCAACATCTGTGACCTGCTGGAGAATGGGAAGTGGGTGTGTGTGTCAGTACTATAAAGCTAGGACTGCAGGATCTCGATGACACAGGGCAGCAATGGAATATCCTGAAAGAACCTGGCATTGATGGTGCAGCAGAGACAAGGGGCCTTGAACCAGACCAATGATTCTTTTCAATAAAGGCCTGCATCTAAAAATATATGAATAAAGGGTTTAACTGTGTGACTCACTGGGTCACACTGCAGCTTCCATGATGAGATTTCCCCTTTTTCCTTTTTTCTTTTCTTTTCTTTCTTTCTTTTCTTTTTTCTGTTTTTTATCCTAAATTTTATTTTGTTTGGCATGGGGAGGGAGATGGATTGGATCAGGAGGCATTATGTGAAAGACATAAAGAATAAATAAAAATAAATAAATAAAAATATTCCAGTTGTAACACTATCAATCTGAAGATTACTATTTATTTAACTAATCATAGAATTAAAAAAAGTATTAGAAATAGAAAGGCCTTAACCATGATTTCTTACCCAAATATCTTGAAGAAATGAGCCTGAGATTCAGTTAGCTCAGCCTTTACCACTAACAGGGTTTGGAATGATTCAGCTGAAAGCCAGAGTTGATATTTTCCTCCAAATGAGTTCTGCAATTTAGGAATGAGGAAAAAGTGCAATGGGAAAATGGGATATGTTGCTTGAGAGGTGGCTTGGTGGTGAAGAACGTATACCACTCCTGTAGAGGACCTACTTCAATTCCCAGCATTTAAATGAAGTGCCTTATAAGTACCTATAACTCTGTGTCCAGGAGAATCAGGTACCTCTAGCCTGTGTGGGCATTTGTACTCATGTACGCACGCACGCACGCACGCGCGCGCGCGCACGCACACACACACACACACACACACACACACACACACAGCCCCATTGTTAACTGAGACATTGGATGGCTTCTGGAAGAATGAAAGTTAAAATTACTTTAAGGGTGTTGTTACAGTACACAGCCTTATCAAAATGTATATGGGAAGCACAAAATGATTCCAGGGATTATTAAAGCATAAATAAATAAAAACAAGAAATACAAATAAAAGAGAAAATAAAGTTGGGCGGGTGGAAACAGGGAAGTATGGTGGGTGTGTGGGAGGAGTCAGGTAGAGGAGTCAGGAATGAAGATAATCAAAATACATTGAACAGCCTTCTCAAAGACTTGGTTTTGTTTAAAAAGAAAACTGAATAATCTACATGTGCTTGTGGCAAAGTAGGGATGAAAACCTTGGTGTACTGCATATCTAAGATTATTATTTTTTATTTTTTATCTTTTAAAAATTATTCTCTTACAATTTTTTACATGTATATAATGAATTATGATGATATCCACTCCTTTATCTCTCCCTAGTAATCTTCAATATGCCCCCTTCCAAGTTCAGGTGCACTATATACTTATTTATTCATTACATTTTATTTTATTCCACTGTACTTGATTTTATCCACATTGCCTCCACATTCATGGGCATGGAGTCATTCATTAGAGCATGGACAATGTACGAGAGGCCACATACTCAAAAATTTTAAAAATGATGATGACATCCCTTCCCTAACCCACCACCAACTGTCAATAGCTCCTTGGCTAATGAACAATAATTTAAAATGTAAAAGAATAAATTTTGCCTAAATAAAAGTATCATCAGAGTTTCTAGGCACTAATATCACAGCATGAATGATTATTGAGTATATTAATAAGGTGAGGACTTTGAATTAGTTGAATGGCATTCACTGAGATGGAACTGGATTGCTGCTATCATCAAGAAAAGATGCTGCCTTCACCACTATACAAAAAAGACAAACAATAGGAAATAGTTCCAATACATCTATTTATAATGGCATTTGGCATTTGAAACAAACTTATTCAGATCAGCTGCAGTCATAACAATGATTCATTTCTCATCTTGCTAATAATTCATGCACTTTGGTCCAGAAAAATAAAATTTGTCTTTTGTGAAGAAATAATAAAGATGAAAACTGCTTTTGATTCCAGAGTGAGCAAGCATTGTGACAAATAGTTTTAAAAGAAATCCTCATGCCCGAACAAGACTCTGCATATTCCAGGCATGTGAAATGAAATAGAAAGGCTTTATTTACTAAGATACAAGCTGTACCTCAAAAATCAATATTTGATGTATAGCTATAATTTAAATGAGGAAACACAAATTTTCACTTAATCAGATATTAACACAATTCAAACAAAATATCTCAGAAGCAATGTTTCTCCAAACTTTGGAAATGATGACAATTGGTTTATATCAATTCAGAAATAAATCTATGTTTTACTCCAATCTAGGGCAGGTACTCTTGGTTAACAACTGAATTACATCAGTGGTCCCAGTTAAGGTTACCAGAAATACCTGGGACCTACTCAAGCACCCAGATAATATTGGAAAATTAATCAGGATCTGAACCTGCAAGTATCTTGGTGACCCACTCTCAAGTGTAACTTTAAACAAAGTAACATTTCAGATAGACAATGACTCAATTATATTTTTGTAATATGAAATACACAATTTTTTGATGTGATTGTGAACTTGGTACCTTAGGGTTTCTATTGCCATCAAGAGACACCATGACCACAGCAACTCTTATAAAAGAAAACATTTAATTGGGGTGGCTCATTTACACTTCAGAGGGTTTAGTCCATGATCATCATGGCAAAAAACAAGGCAACATGCAGGCAGTCAAGATGCTGGAGAAGGAGCTGAGGGTTCTTACATCTTGACCTGCAGGTGACAGGAAGTAGTCTGGAGCAAAGTCATTCTGACACACAGGCATCAGGAAGTGGTCTAGGTCACTGGGCATGGCTTGAGCATATATGAGACCACAAAAACCATCTCCATAATGACACACTTCACCCAATGAGGCCATACACACTCCAACAATGTCATACCTCCTAATAGTGCTACTACATTTGGGGGACATTTTTTTTTCAAACCAGCATATTCCATTTCCTGGCACCCAATGGCTTGTAGTCATATCATCATGTAAAAATGCATTTAGTCCAAATTCAAAAGTCCCCATAGTCTATCACAGTCTCAACAATGTTTTAAAGTCCAAAGTTCAAAATCTCTTCTGCAATTCATGTAATCTCTTAACTGTAATCTCTTAAAAAATAAAAATAAAAATACTAGATCACAAACTTCCAACATAAAATGGCACATGATATGAATTTTGTTTTAAAAACATAGAAAAGGAAGCATACTGAGGAAATACTGGACCAAATTAAGACCAAAACCAGCTAGGCAAACTCCAGATTCTGTATCTCTCTATCTAATGTCACATGCTCTTCAGATCTCCAACTCCTTTCAGCTTTGTTGAGTGTTAACATACTTCTTTCTCTTGGGCTGATTCCACTCCCTGTTAGTAGCTTTCTTCAGCAAGTAGCCCATGACTCTGGCATCTCTAACATTTTGGAGTCTCCAAGGCAATTTATACTTCTCCTTCACAGCTTCACACCATGGCCTCTCTAGGCCTCCATTTGGGGACACCTCTGACACATGTCTGGCATCAGAGGCTTTCTTTAGCTATGGAGGCAAATTCCATAGCCCCTTTCTAATATCCTTAATTCCAGAACCATACATCTGGAATTGCCAAGTTCTGCTGCTGTGGCTGGAACATGGCCCCCTTGTTCAATTATGTTTTCATCATCTTTCAGTTTTCCATTGTTACATTCACTGCCTAAGCCTGACTGTCCTGAACCTGGATGTGTAGACCAGGGTGGCCTCAAACTCAGAGATCCACCAGCCCCTGCCTCTGGAATGCTGAGATTAAAGGATTATATCAGGACACTTGGCTCTAAACTTTTCTTTAATTGCTTTTCACAAGTTGGGCACTTACCTAGGTGAGATCTTACCCTAAAGTCACCATTTCCTTTCTTCTATTTCTTAATCTGTCTATCTCCTTCAACACAGGGTATAACTCCATTCCACTTCCTGGTGCTCCTTTTCTCTTCAAATTGTTCTTTTTCATTATAAATCTTTATAAGCATGAACTCTTGTAACTACAGGATAGAGTCTATACTAGGTTGTTTTGGCAATGGAATTAATCCAAATCTCTTCATGTTAGCCTCAGGCAGACTCTGGACAAGGGCAAAAAAGCAGCCAATTTCTTCACCAAAACATCACAAGAACAATTTATGAGCAACATACTAAAATTCTTCTTTACTGAAACCTCTTGATCCAGCTGCCCACAGTTAATCAAATCACACTCAGCCCACTCTCCTCCATGCTCCTTCTAGTATGTGTAGTGGGTACCTGTTCCAGCTTTGACCTGGAATTACTACTCCCATTGAGGTTTCTGGCAACTGCCATGCCTACCTATGGCCTGCCCCTGAGGTGGGGCCAAGAGGGGAGCCTTTAAGACCCAGGATATGGATGTGCCACTCTCTTGGTTCCTGGTAATCCTGGATGTTGGATGGTACACTGAGCAGAGTTCTCCAGAGAACACCACTGGACTGCACTTCACCTCTCTCAGTTCCTGTAACCTATCCCTTTACTTGTAAGTAAAACTCCCAAATAAATCTCCCCTTTAACTATGTGGAGTTGCCTTAATACTTCCACCAATAAGTATGGCCCATTAAGCAGCACTTAATGCATTCAACTGCTTTTCTAATCCACAGTTCCAAGGTCCCTATTCCTTCAAACAGAAGCATGCTCAGATCTATCACAGCAATACCCCACTCCTGGTACCAACTTCTGTCTTAAGAGGGTTTTTTTTTTTTTTTTTATTGCTGGGAAGAGATACCATGACCACAGCATCTTTTATAATGGAAAACAATTTGGGGTGGCTGTGGTGGTATTGTGTTGCCCAAAATATCGTGTACCCTAATAAACTTACCTGGGGTCAGAGAACAAAAAAGCCACTAGATACTTAGGATAGGCAGTGGTAGCACACGCCTTTAATCCTAGCATTCCAGAGGCAGAAATCCATCTGTTCAAGGATACAGGCAAGCATGGTGACTCACGCCTTTAATCCCAGGGAGTGATGATAGAAAGCAGAAAGGTATATAAGGCATGAGGACCAGAAACTAGAAGCATTTGGCTGGTTAAGCTTTCAGGCTTTCAAGCAGCAGTTCAGCTGATAGCCATTGGGATGAGAATACAGAAGCTTCCAGTCTGAGGAAACAGAATTAACTGAGGAACTGGCAGGGTGAGGTGGCTGTGGCTTGTTCTGTCTCTCTGATCTTCCAGTATTCATCCCAATAACTGGCCTCAGGTTTGATTTTTATTAATAAGAACTTTTAAGACTCCTGCTACAGGTGGCTTAAATTTTCAGAGGTTCAGAACATTATCATCCTGGTGGGACATGGTAGTATGCAAGAAGACATGGTACTGGAGAAGTAGCTGAGAGTCCTACATCCATGACTTACAGGCAACAAGAAGTGGTCTGTCTCACTGAGTGTGGCTTGAGTGCTGTGGGATGGTCCTTCTGTATGCTATCAATATGTATTTCTCTCATGGGTTGATAATATAGTTGTTTTGGCCTATGGCAAGACAAAATAAGGTTAGGCAGAAGAATCAAACTAGGACTCAGAGGAAGAGGGGTGAGGTAGAGACAGATGCTGCAAGCCACCTAAGAAGCAGGATGCTGGAGAACTGTT